CCCCCCCCCCGGCACGGTGGACTCCGTGCTGACCTCCGTGATCCCAGAGAGGGTTTCCCGGGCCACAACGGGACGCATCCTCCCTACCTGCCGACTCTGGACCAAATTTTTTAACCGGTGCTTGTTCTGAGTCGAAACCCGACGCCGGGGCTGCTTTGCTGGGGACTCGCTGCTTGCTAGACGGCGTGGCTGACCTGCTGGATAAATCTGCCGTTTACTGCAGCTTTATGCTATCCGGGGGGACGGGGCGGGGGGGTGCTTTGCCCGTCCAGAACGGGACACCGCTGGGTAGTGGCGGAAACTAATGGAAACTAATCAAGGAGAGAAGCAACCTAGAACTAAGGAGAAACTTCCTGACAGTGAGAACAATTAACCAGTGGAACAACCTGCCTCCAGAAGCGGTGAATGCTCCATCACTGGAGGTTTTTAAGAAGAGACTGGACAGCCATTTGTCTGTAATGGTATAGGGTTTCCTGCCTGAGCAGGGGGTTGGACTAGATGACCTCCAAGGTCCCTTCCAACTTTATCATTATTATTATTATTACTTCCTGACAGTGAGGACAATTAGCCAGTCGAACAACCTGCCTCCAGAAGCGGTGAATGCTCCATCATTGGAAGTTTTTAAGAAGAAACTGGACAGCCATTTGTCCAAAATGGTATAGGGTTTCCTGCCTGAGCAGGGGGTTGGACTAGATGACCTCCAAGGTCCCTTCCAACTTTATTATTATTATTATTATTATTATTATTATTATTATTATTAAACTGGCCGCGAATGAGGCCGCGGGAGAAACCGAGCGAGGGGGACCAGGAGGTGCCGTCCAGGGCCTGCCCAAGCGGAGCCCCCCCCCCCCCCCCGACAGCAGACTCAGCGCTCCGCGGCCACGTTCATTCGGGCCCCGTCGGGCTGCACCGGGGCTGGGGCTGGGCGGGCACGCGGACCGGACCACCCCGCGGACTCGGGAAAGGGCGACCACCCACCCACTTACCCCCCCCCGGTGGCTGCGAAGAAGCCTTGTCCCGTTTGCAAAGGGGGCGCGCGGGCTGTACCCGCTGGGGGCGCAGGGCGGGACTGCGCTCCCTGCGTGGAGTAAATCCTCCATCACGCGTGGAGGAAGGAGCCGGGACCGAAGCGGAGCAGCTCCCGGGGAGTCGAAGACCCCCCCCCTTCCCACCTTTGCCGGCCTCGCTGGCGGACAGCCGGGAGCGACTCTCGCGCGGAAGGCGAGGAAGAGAACGGGGGGCCAGCCCCCCCCCCAATTCCAGCTGCCAATTCCAGCTGCAGGCGGCGGCAGAGGTCGGTGCGGTGGGAAGGACCTTCTGGGACCGCTTTGGGTCTGGGAAGAGCCGTTTTGCGGCGCTCCTCCAAATCCTGCCCTTACTTTGCCTTTGTGCGTGTGAGCGGGTCGTTGTAGGAAGCTCCCCCCGCTGGGAAAATGCCGGGACCCCCCCCCCCTTTAGAAACGCGCGCCGCCCCCCCGCGTGCCCTGCTTGGAGGCCAACGATAAAGTGATTTAATGACGTCGCTATCTATTAAAGCAACGTCTCCGAGACATTTGAAAATCTTGACTCTTCAACTTGTCTTTATTTAGTGATTTTGTTCTAAAGAGAAGAAAACAGCTCCCGTTCACCCGCCAATAAAATTGGACTTTTAGTGCAAAAAAAAGGTCTTCTTCAGTGGATAAAAACCTTCATGTTTATGAAGTACAGTACATAATTCCTAGGCACAAAATAAACGTTTTAAAAAAAACGGGAATCAGGTTAACGTGCACTTTGAAACGTCTGTCCTTATTGGTGTATGTGTGTGTGTGTTTTTGGGTGTGTGTAACAAATTCCATAGAATCCTGTTGATTCAGCCACACCAAGCTAAACCTGGGAGAGTCTGGTAGCGCAAAGGGCCGGAGAAATGACCACTGGTCAGTGGTTATGGTCAGCTTGGACTCTGACCAGGAATCCTCCTATCCTTTGCTCCTTCTGTATTTGCTTCCCACACATCTCAGCAAGTTTCACAACCCCGTCTGGGTGTGTTTGTTTGTGCCCGGCCTGAGACACGACAGGACACCAACTGGGCTACCTCCCACGGCTGAACGGCCTGCATCTCCTTCCTCTTTCTGAGGCTCAGAGTGACAGTTTTCTTAAAATGCCCGGCTTGCCTTCTGACACAGTGCCACAAATGGCACCCAGGATGTTTCACAACACGTGTAATGGAGAGGTATATTGCACCATCCCAGTTTTTGTATTGCATCGATTTTTTTTTCTTCCTAAGTTCCCTTTTTGTTCTCCTATCTGCACGCGTGAACCCCAAATGTCTGAAAGAAACACTGGGAACTTTCTTCCGTTCTGTCTTTCTTCTTCTGCGCAGCATCTTTGTTTCCCCCCAAAATAAAAATGCTCTTGCTTTATTCCAGGCCTGCAGATCTGGTGGGACCCACCTCACACACGGCCCCTTCCGCCTGGGGGGAAAGTGGGAGGACACCCAACTCTGAAATATCCTGGGCCTGGAAGGAAGAGGAAAGAAATAACGATGAAGTCAACCTCTTCCTTCTTCCTCTTCGTGTCTCCCAAAACTTTACGGCCGGATCTCCAGTAGATCCAAACGGATTTGAAGGGCAAATACGGATCCAGCTGGTCTCTCCAGATCTCCAGGCCTTGCATTCGCCTGTGGGTGCAAGGGAAGAAAACAGACGGAACGATTCTGTAAAATTGAGGGGGAGGGGTAGCAATGAGTTGTGTAGCTTAAACTCATGCGTAAGTCAGGAACCAGGAACTTTAGGCCAAGAAAACACCTCTCAATCTACCTATGAAGTGCTGTTGTTAGGTATGTGTCCAGGCAGGGTGCAAACTTAAAAAAAGAAAAGAAAAAAGGAAGGAAGGAAGGAAGGAAGGAAGGAAGGAAGGAAGGAAGGAAGGAAGGAAGGAAGGAAGGAAGGAAGGAAGGAAGGAAATTTGAAGCAGTGGGAGGGAGGGAGGGAGGGATGAGGACCGCAGGGTAATCTCTGATTAACTTCCTTTTTTTGGTGCCAACCGCATTGTGTCTGCTCTTTCACTTGTTTTTCACAAAGTGCAACCTTCACTCCTTCACTCTTTTCTTCTTTGCTTTGTGTTTTGAGTAGCGACATATAGATCATTTATATAAATAAACATATATAAATATCACAACAGACATTTACGTCCCAAGAGGAAGCTACAATCTCCCTCTGTCTCTTGACGTGCAAAACACCAGTCTGGGCTCTTCTGCTCCCCACAGAAACCGGCCAGGCCAGGCCAGCTCGACTCCTTCCCAGAGCCAGCAGCGTTGACCCGCCTGCCCCACAGCCCGGTCGACCCCACTGTCCGTGGCTGCTGGCACCACCTGCTCCTCCAGCTGTGGGAGACCCTCTGAAGACCCCAACAGCTCCCCTGCAAAGGCAGGAGACGGGCTCTTCTTAGGGGGCGACCCTGACTGACGTGGGCCTCCACCTGCAAACAGGTGTGTGCCCAAAGCGACTCCTTCTCCCCCCACCCCGCCGGAGCGGATTTTTTTTCTGGCACACTTTGGGGAGCTGGCAGATCAGGCACTTTGCAAGCAGGCAGGATTGTTTTAGCTTCAAGGTCCGTGAAACATTTCGTGCCTCAGTTTCCCTTCCGCGTTTGCCGAAATATTTACCCTACCTTTTGAAAGAAAATACTTGGATTAAGTTTGGCTGGATGAAAGTGACAAGGATGGAGCTTTATGTTAAGCTTGAGGAAAAGGCACCACCAGCCGATTTTTAACTGGCATGGAATCAAGTGGGTTTCCCCAACGGATAGTGCCCTTCTTCGTCTTCCGAGTTTTATTTTTCTTTTCTGCTGCTCATGTTCCTGCTAGTAGGGAGGGCCCACTTGCTCTGGGTGGCTGCCTCTCCTTCGTTCTCCTTCCGGGGCTTAAAAAGTGCAGCATTTTGATGGTTTACAGTAATAACAGAAAAACTGCAGCTGTGCGTATGTGTCTGTGTGTGTCTGTGTGTGTGTGTGCATGCGCGCAGAGGCCAGGACCCTTAGAGTCCCTCCTCAAAGCTCCAGCCACCTGCGTCTTGGGGATCCCAAGCTTTTGGAGGTCCACAGCCGGGATCCCATGACCCAACATGGCCGGAGCAGAGCTGTGTCCACAGAAGCCTCACTCCCAGGGCGCTTCAGCCACGGCCACTTTTGGGCCTGCCTGCCTCACTGGTGGCGCATTCAGCTGCTCTGGGTGAGCCACTCCGCCTGTTTTTAGAAAAGGGGGAAATAAAAGCACAGAGGAGGAGGAAGAGGAAGAGTTCCTTTTGTGGGGGGCTCTTCTGTGGGGAATAAAAGCAAGGCTGCCTTCTGTTTGGGGGAGCCTCTTCCCCCCCCTCTGCAGCTGATGAGGCTGGCAGGAGAGTAGGGGCCACCACGGCCGGGGAGGAGGGAGGGAGGCTGCGAGGGACGCCTAGAAGCTACGGGGGACCAGTTGCCCCCAGGAGGGGCTCAGACGTTGCTGATCCGCACACTCAGCGGGGTGCTTTCCCGCTCGGCTCTCTCCCGGAACGATTCCTCCAGCTTCAGCTTCTCAGGGTCGCCAAACCGCGCGGTTTCGTGGAGGCAGCACGGAGGGGCCACCTTGATCACTTGCTCGAACAGGCTGAAGTCGGCCACGTACTTCCCGCTGGCCGAGAGAGAGATGACCGGGGTAAACTCGTAGCCCCACAGGATCTCCTCCGGGAGGTAAGAGGTGCGGACCTGGCAGGTGGCGCTGGTGGACTCCACGGTGCCACTGAGGATCACCACCAACTCGAAGTCGCCCTCCCCCGTGCGCAGGGCCAGGTCTCGGAAGGGGCTGCGCTCGTTCACCACGTGGTAGAAGGTGAGGGGCAAGATGAGGAAGGGGCTGTCGGAAGACGTGTCTATTTGGAAGTTCACGTTGACTTGGTTTAGCCGGACGTTCTCACCTTCCTTGGTGAGGTAGGTCTGAAGGAGTTTCCCCGTCACCTGGCACCCGATCAAGAGGCTCTTCCGCATGTTAGCCACCCGGATCATCAGGCAGGTTTTGCCGTCGTGCTGAGCCACCACGGCGTTCTGGCTGAACTTGATGGTCTCGGCCCTCTTTTTGGGCCGAGCGATCTTGGCCAGGAAGGTGCCGGTGATGAAGATCTCCATGATGGTGGTGAGGACCAGCTGGCTGATGAGCAGGACGATGGCCAGTGGGCACTCCTCGCTGATGTAGCGGAAGCCGTAGCCGATGGTGGTCTGGGACTCCAGGGAGAAAAGGAAGGCCCCGGTCAGCGTGTGGACCTGCATGACGCACGGCGTGTGGTTGGCTGGAGGGCCGAACTCCAGCAGGTCCCCGTGCAGCAGGGCCACCAGGTACCAGACGACCCCGAAGAGGAACCAGGTGCCGGCAAAGGAGGCCGAGAAGAGGATCAGCTTGTAGCGCCACTGCATGTCGATGAAGGTCGTCCAGAGGTCCTTCAGGTACAGGAAGCGCTTGTCCGCGATGTGCTCCATGCGCACGTTACTTCGCCCGTCCTTGGTCATGACCCGCCTCTTCCGCAGCACTGGGCCAATCAGGGGGTGGCTGTCGGTTTGGGTGGTCTGGCTGTAGTACACCTTGGTGGATGAGGTCATCTGGGCAGAGGAGAGAGCAAGAGGGAAAGAGGGGCAGGTAAGGAGGGCTCATACCAGAGGGATATGGGGGGCGGGGGCGGGAAATCACATCTGCATTCAGGATGAACCACAAAAGAGCAGTAAATCCCCACAACATCTGTCCCGGGGGGGTGGGGAGGGAGCATGAAATGGCACTCCTTGCCAACCCTCTCTTCTTCTACAGTTCTACAGTCTTCTGACTTTTCTTGAGGGGCTCTTGACACACACACCCCCTTTCTATCACCCTACAGCCCCCATTGTTCACAGCCTAATGGATTCCTAGCACTGTCTTTTCCCTAGCCCGTTTCAATGTAAAAAAGATGTTGAGACTTTGGAAAGAGTACAGAGAAGAGCAACAAAGATGATTAGGGGACTGGAGGCTAAAGCATATAAGGAACGGCTGCTGGAATTGGGTATGTCTAGTTTAATGAAGAGAAGGACGAGGGGGGACATGATAGCAGCGTTCCAGTATCTCAGGGGCTGCCCCAAAGAAGAGGGAGTCAAGCTATTTTCCAAAGTGCCTGAAGGCAGGACAAGAAGCAAAGGATGGAAACTAATCAAGGAGAGAAGCAACCTGGAACTAAGGAGAAACTTCCTGACAGTGAGAACAATTAACCAGTGGAACAACCTGCCTCCAGAAGCCGTGAATGCTCCAACACTGGAAGTTTTTAAGAAGAGACTGGACAGCCATTTGTCCGAAATGGTATAGGGTTTCCTGCCTGAGCAGGGGGTTGGACTGGATGACCTCCAAGATCCCTTCCAACTTTATTATTATTATTATTATTATTATTATTATTATTATTATTATTATTATTATTATTATTATTATTATTATTATTATTATTAGGATTCCTAGCACTTTGACTTTATTGATATCCACCCCTCCTCCTTCCTTCCCTGCATGTGGAGCCCAATGAATTCTGGGGGAAAAAACAAGGAGTGAGTCTCCGCCTCCCTCCCTCCCTCTCCCCCCCCCTCTCTCTCTCTCACACACACACACATACACACACACACAGAGTATGATGCCCATTGAATGATTGTCCATTCTTCAACCTTTAATCCTGTTCCCAGCAAAAACAAAACATCCTTCCAGTTGCTTGAAAGAGCCTTCTAACAATCAGTGCATGAACCACCATCCTGGGGACCCCCTCACCCCTGCCCCACCATATTTGTGGGAGGAAAGTGGCCCCCTCCACGGACCCCCAATGTGCCTCTGCCCTTCCTGGAGCCACAGCCCAGAGACCCCCCCGAGCAAACTCCCCGTCTTCCCAGACAGACTCGGTGGGCATCTGAGCCTATGCAGAGGGCGCTGTGTGCCAGAGGCCACGAAGCTGCACCTGTTGAAATGCTGCTTTTCCCTTTTTTTCTGCCCAAAACAGCGCCTTCTCACTCTCACCACCACCACCACCCCCGCCAATCTGGCCCCCACATGGCCCAAAGCGGTCCCTTAAAAAGCCCCATAAGTGGCTGCTGTTAACATCTTGGAGGCATTAAACATTAACTCAGTGTGCTTCGGCCTGCATTCATTAGGCAGGGAACGAGGCGGCCACGGTATGTAAAAGTTTACAGCCTGTTTTACAAGAAGAACATAATATATAACTATTTTTCCTCTTAGAAAACCTGGCCGGGGCTTAATCTGCCTGGGATCCTGGCTGCCCCAGAGCTGGACTGCAAAATAAATGGCCTCATGGCGTCTTCCCGGGATTTTCAGAGAGACGGATTCGGAAGGGGAGCGAAGGGAGGGTGCCATGCCTCTCATCAGCCAGCCTAAAGCCCTCTGCTGAACCAGGGAGGGGTTCGGGGGGGGGGCTTATGCCTCTTTCTTAAGGCTTCAGGCGGCTCCCTTCCCCTCCCCAATCTGGCGGTATCGGAGCCGCCCCTTGTGAAAGTGGCACCCAGGAACACCTTCCGACGACGATGCCTTCCAGAGGCCGGGGAACCAACAGGGCAGCCCCTTCCTCGCCTTCAGCAAATGTGGTTAAACTGTAAACAGGAGTTGTTTTAAAAGCTGGCGCTGCCCGCACGTTTCTCCCTCCAGGGCATCTGGGTGGCGCTCAGAACAAGCATCAGCTTGTTAAAACTTGTGTTGGGCTTCCAGGGGTCTGGCCGGGGCAGGGAACCCACCAAAGTGGGGCAAGGCCAGCCGGCGTCCCTCGGCCTCTCAGTCAAGGCTGGGCTGGACAGCGTCCTGGAGGGGACTTGCGTCCGAACGGCTCACCCTTTGCGTCCCAGCCACTCTTGCGGCCATGCTGGCCCTGTGGAACTTTGGCAGCCTGGGATAACCATTCCCATCATGCTCAGCAGCAGGGCTGGCAGGTCAAGAATCGGGGAAACACAGGAGGTGCTTAAGTACCAACCAGCGCAGGCTACCAACCGCTGCAGCCGGACGGTGGAGCGTTACAGCTGCGGTGCCAGTTGGGCATCTTGCAGGGTGGCTGCAGGCCAGGCTGGGGGTCTCTCGGCCCCCAACTCCATGGGGCATCTGCCATCTTAGGCCTTTTCCGGACGTCCGCCCAGGGTCTGCATCCATCGGCCGCAGGGTTTTGTAGCCTTGCTCCCCCTCTCCGCAAAGGAGCCCTGCTGCCCTCCCTCTGGCCAGTCGGACCCCTTTCTCCAGCCCCCAGCGCTCTCTCCTGGGATAGGGCCAGCCAAATCCGTCCCTTCCATTGGCTCGGACCCATTGCAAGGCTCAGGAGGGGAGGGCAACGTGGGCCGAGGCTCCCCACCGGACCTCTGCAGATATTGGAAACCGCCAAGCTCAGTTGCCCGGATCCGGCCAGGCTTGTGGGGAGGGGGAGGAGATGGGGGGGAGTGAAAGCATTTGACTGTTTGGTAAGAAGAGCAGGCAGGACAGAAGCCCCATTGTCTGCCCCCCAGGAGAAGGCCTGAATGGAGCTCGCAAGAGACAAAAAGCGCTTTGAGAAGCCAGCTCGTTAGTATGCGAGGGGGAGCAGCGGTCTTCTCTCCTTGGATCCCCTTCCCGCCTCTCCTGGACACCCCAGTGGGCATGAGTCCTGCCACCGGAGCTCCTCCGGCCGTGTTCATGGCACACACACCCCCTCCCGGGATTCACCTGTTCTGACTCCCAGCTCACTGCCAGCACAGGGGGCACAGCCGGGCCCTTGCCCGCCTGCGCCTCTCTGCTTGCCAAGCGTGATGGGGGGGAGGCCTTGGTTTGCCCGCTGCAGGGGGGCCAGGAAGAGCCAAGCTTGCCACGTCGCTCAGTTCCCCTTCAGCTCCGCTTCGGAGTCTGTTGGCCACTTCCGCTGCTCTCTTAAGAGTTGGGGGCTTCTGGGCTGTGGCCGGTCCCTCCACCTCTCAGGGAATCCGGGCACGCTCGACCAAATCAGGCGGCCATTTACACAACGCTTCACGCTCTTCAAATGATCTTAGCTTCCCCTAAAGTCAGGCAGGAAATCCGCAAAAAAAAAAACCCCAACCCTAAACCCCCAATAAGTTGGCCTCATTTTAGTAGGAAAGAGAACACTCCCCCAAATGTACACTCAAGATATACAAAATACAAATTTTGTTTTGGCCTTGGCATCCCTGCTCGGTCCACCACCACCTTTGCCCTGGCAAGGCGAAAGGAAATAATGAAATTAGCCGCCTTGAGGCTACAAAATTTGTCCAGGGAAAAGGACGCGGCCTCAGGACTCGGCCTCACCCCGGAATGCTGGCAGAGAAAGAGGGAGAAATGTCAGGGAAGGGGGAAGAGACCCCTTCTGTGAAGATGAAGATTTTTTTTATCAGGAGACATTGAAGAAAGACCAGCAGGGCCAGGAAGGGAGCATCCCCCAAGTAGTCTCTGGACGTCTCTGCCTGCCAGAATCCTGTCTCTGCTGCCTCCCTTCCACTCCCCTTTCTCCTTCCGACCACCAAACACCCCTATTTTCTTCAGAGGACCCCCTGTCCCCCTTTGGAATGAGTGCCACAGCCCCCCCCACCTTTCAGAAAGGGTCCCCGAACCCAGACCTGGAGTTCAGCCCCAAAGCATCACCTCTCGGCCCCTGCGGAGGTTTTGGGTCTCCTATTTTTGGGAAAGCCCAGCAGCCGGGGGGGGGGCATGCCTCTCCCCATCTAACTCCAGACAGAGAACTCGGGGGGGGGGGCGGTGAGATTCCCTGCAAAGATGTTGGGTTTCCCACACGGGACATCCCACATCCGTGCGTGTCTGTTCTTGGCCGAGTCCATGCAACCGTCTCCCTCGGGGAGGGGGCTCTGAGACCCTGGGAGGGGTGACCTTGCCGAAAGAAGAAGGGAAGGGAGCGCCGTTTGCCCCCCAAGAAGGACCCAGGCGGGCAGAGCTTGCTACCACTGACTAAAACAGAGAGGGCTGAATTGTGTGCTTTTGTGTGGGTTGCATCCCTCCCCATCACCTGCTGAAACTCCAGAAGGGGGCTACTTAGCGAACCCCCTCCTCTCGTCTCCAGCCCCACTCCGTCAGAAATGCCAGCAAGAGGGGGCCCGACCCGGGGGAGGGGGGGACATTTTGAACCCTCCCAGGTCCCCCTGCCCACGTCCAAGGCTGGACCGCCTTACCTTGAGTTGGGAGAAGGCTTGGACTGCAAGCTGGGGGACCCTCACCTGGAGAGGACCTTCTCTCAGCGCCCGCCTGATCAGGTTCTCCAACCGGGGGCCGGTGGGCGAGTCCTTCTCCCCGCAGGGTTGGGGGCGCAGAGGCTGTGGGGAAGAGAGGGGTGAGGC